CACACACACACACTCACACACACACTCACACACACACTCACACACACACTCACACACACACACACAGACACACAGACACACAGACACACACACACACACACACTCTCTCTCTCTCACAGACACACACACACACACTCTCACACGCGCGCACTCACACACACACGCGTGTATGTATATATATATATAAACTTCAATTACAAAAATGAGTGTATAAAATTAGACTTCAGTTTTAAAACAAAAACGGTAGCTCTGCACAATCCAAACAGGTTCCAGCACATACAATATTTCGGATAAACGGAGTAAAATATGAAACGTGTATGTTTTATAACGATACACTTACCGAAGTTCAGAACATGTAATTATGGAGCGCTGGCTGGCGGGGGCGGGGCCACACGCGTGACGTCACAGGCGAGCGTTCCACCAAACACGCCAAAAACTCGAGGTTTGAAACGAAATAAAACACCGACAGCGCCGCAGCGCCCCGAGCTAGAGTTCCTCAGAGCCTCTCCCTGGCTCTCGCAGCACACGTGCGCTCTCGGCCAGCAGTGCCTGACGCGCTACTTTCTCCCGCAACAATGAGGCGTTACTTCTGCAACTTCTGCGTTTGTCGGACTGATGCGATGACGACTCCAGCAGAAAGCCCCGCCCCTAAAGAGAGAGACCAGATATCTCCACACAATTCTTTTCTAATAGTAATATATATATATATTTAGAGACTTTTAGGCATGTGATATAATGCGCGAACATTTTAAAATCGCTACTATGTAGAATAAACGCATGCATTTTTATTTAAAAACATTTAGTAAATGTAAGTAATACGTGTTTATTATATCTATGTATTTGTTTTTTTATAATTAAACGTAATTACAATTATACAGACAAAACGAATAGATTTCGAAACAAATCAATACATAATTAAACAATTAAATATTTCAAGGTACGTGCAAGTTTCCATGAAAACACGGCAGATGTGGTTTAAACGTGCTGAATAACTGAAATGCAGAACTGCGCTGAATCAAGAAGTAAAAGTAGTTTATTAAGTTTTTAGAAAACGATTTGTTTATTTATTTAGTCACTTCTGCGCCTGCGCAGTTCCTCGCTCTTGACGCGTCCGCGTTGAGCTGCGCCGGAAGTGACCGACCGCTACAAGCAGCTCGCGCTAACCGTGTACCGGGACCGACACCGGAGCCGAGACGTTCTTCTCCGAATCTGGAGCTTGTGTGCAGTTGGCGGGTGAGTTAACGTTACGCGACTGGAAGGTTAACCGGTCGAACCGGATCGGGATTCGAACTCTCGTCTGTTTACACCGGCCCTGAGACCCCTGACAGACCTCCGAAACTGACAGCTCAAACACTTACTGTTACATAATAACCATCATAATTAATATATTCATATCAATAAGCATCAGGTTACAGTAGCACGACATCTCTTTAAAAAGTACAGTACCATAATACAGACTGATAAATAAATGTACTGTAAGTGTTTAGCATGTTTAATGATGATCTACTAGGAACCAGGAAGTGCGGCGCATCGGCCGTCGTGACGTCAGCTGAGGGGGCGTGGCCTGTAGGCGCCTTCTAACACGCGATTGGTGAACAGGTAAAATGATTAGCATTTTATGACATTCCTCACCCATTATTTATTAACTTTGACCTGTTCGCAGGTGTCCAGCCATCCTGCTGTGGCTCTGCGGGCGCGCAGTGGGCGGAGTCAGGCTCAGACTCGGGCTGTGATTGGCTGGGAGTGATGAGTGGGCGGCGGGGGGGCGTGGCTGTGGTCCGCGAGCGGGGCGTGGATTCGTCGTGCTGGTTCGCGCCCGGCGCTTTGCGACGTCTGTTCGAGCTGCCGGCGCCGATCCTGTCGCGCCACCAGCTGAAGCGTCTGGAGGAGCATCGCTACAGCAGCTCGGGGCGCTCGCTGCTCGAACCCGTCATGCAGCGCTACTGGGAGTGGCTGGTGCGCGGGATGCCGCCCTGGATCGCGCCCAACCTCATCACCATCGTCGGTTTGGCGACGAACATCTTCACCACGCTGGTGCTGGCGTATTACTGCCCGACCGCCACCGAACAGGTACGAACAGATTTTAATCGCTAATGCTTTTATCGCGATATACGGTATTATCGCGGTATTTAAATTTAGTTGCAAAAACGTGTTGTCATAATACAGTATTTACAATACAGGTTTAGTAGCGTTCTCTTAATAACAGAAATAACTGAACGTTTAAATACAATAAAGCAACGCACAAAAATTGTATAAAGTTAAATATTTTACACAAATTAAAGTGCAAAAGGATTATAAAGACCAATAGGTATCACTTTACAGTAAGACCTCATTAGTTAACCTTAGTTAATGCATTAACATTCACAATCAGCAATAGCTACGGAAGCTATTAATCTTCGTTAAAAAATACGACTAGCTCATTATATAACACAGTTGCAACTTTTGATTTTAACAACGTGTTATTAAATATTTTAATTACCTAAGATTGATGAATGTTTAGAAGGATTTTTCACTGGCAGTTTATGTTAACTAATGAATTAACTAATGTAAAGTGTTACCGAACTATAACGAATCAAAACACTTGCAAACAATATCTAGCGCATGTTGCAGTCCAGAATAAAATGTTAAAAAGTTTGACAATAAATGGCCTATTAAGTCTAAATAGTCAAGTGTTTGGCGCTGAATGGCTGTTTAAATAATTTAAATGCATTTCAGAAACAGAAAGTAGCGCAGCTGCATTGTTTCCAGGGTTTCCGGGGTAACGGCTGCATTTCTGCTGTTTAGCGCCACCTGCTGTCAGAAAATAAATAGACTATTAAGTCTCAATATTTCAGTATTTGGCGCTGTGATGAACATAGCAAATAGACAAATCTGAATGGCTGTTTAAATCATTTAAACACATGTTTACAGGGTTTCATTTAAATTAATTATTATTATTATTATTATTTCTGCAGTTTAGCGCCATCTGCTGTCAGAGAATGAAAGTGCGCTTTCCTCCAGAGCGTCTCTTGCATGTTCCGCTGTGTGCTTCTCGTCCGCGCTTGTTTCAAAATTCGGAATAATTTGTAATATATAATTATTCACGGTATTTAGAAGTGCCCACGATAACAATATCG